GCAATTCGTTTTTTGTAATGCTGTTCATTCAATTGGATGTGATCTGTTGAATTCGTGCACAGCTTCATCATTTATATCATTTGACGTTTTACTGTCACATACACATTGAGAACACTGAACTTGACAAGCCAATCAGAGTCAAGAGTCTTCGGTGTTATCGATAATCCAATCAAAATTTCATGGAATCTGCTCAGAGAAAATGAACCACCACCTACTGATGGAGAAATAATTTGAGTTCCTAGTGAATTAATGAAAGGCGAATAATTATCGGGATATTCAAACGTGGGAGCCCAGCGAGCGCCCTAATGTTCAAGATCATCAACAATCGCCAAAATGGGAGCATCTCAAAGTCTGACAAAATTATCTGAGTGAAGGTCCTTCCAAGGTCTCTCATTCCTTTGTATCATCCGAGAACAACGATAATGCGAGAGAGTGTTCTTCAAATTGAATGATCACCAGCGTCTTTCAGCTATATTGTCTCCTTCATCGACAATGTTTGTGAGATGACACCTGTTTAATGCATATGAAAGGGCCATCAGAGTCTGAGTGCTTGTTACTTTGCAATTACGTCGAGTCAAGCTTTTCTTAGCAGTCAATTATTGCCATTAACTCTAAGAGAGCCATTACTGGTTTCGCAGCATCAGAGAGTACGTATCAATTTGTTGTGTACAAGGTGTCACACTAGAGTTGGTGAGATAGGTATACAATATTAACAGTACCTCTTCGTGAATTCATCAGCGAGAATAACTATGCATGATTGACAGTTCTTTAGCAAGAAATTGTTCAATATCATTTTCTTTCAGAATTATTGATCTTTCAAGCAATGATGGGGGGTGGTTGTTTCAGTTTTTATTTTTTTCTCTGTTAGAGCGCATGAAAGGAAATTCCTATGGTTTTCGAAGAACATCGTGCATACCTAATAGCTAAGGTCCTACGATGGTCGATACTTCCCCTTCTGAGTAAAAGCAAATCCTTCTGAACAGGCATAGAGTAAGTAGAAATAAAGAGATTCAGGGGCAGACCCACCCCTGAAACCCGCGGAGACACCCCCACCCCCTTCTCGAAGGGGTGGTGCGCACAGTTGCATATAAATATTATTTTCTCAAAAACGGTGAGAGATAGAGATTTGCGATTTACGCCATTCGGAAGAAAATTGAATTTTACATCTGATAGATATTTTTTGATTGATCAAAAATCTCAATGTCAGCTCCCAATAAAAAATATATGGGATGAGGGAGTTCTAGGCTGTCATGTTTTTCCTCATAACTATTAAACGGTTCAAAGAATCGAAAAATATGATGATGGAAAAAATGAAGCTTGTAGTTTCTTCTATCGAACGATATATATAAAGTTGGAGATATCTATATAGAGAAGGCATCCAGTAGCGTACGAACACATGCGCGTTTGGTAGAATAATGTGTGAGAAATGATAAAAAAATACCTACCTACCTACCGTTGGTGCATGCAACGTGAGAAATGAACATTTTACTATATAACGTGAGAGGAAGAAGTTGATTTACTCATCACACATACTAATAATTTAAAGGATACTACTTGGATTCAAGAAGGAATGTGGAAAATCTAACAATAAAGGTACAACAATTCAAACATTTTTATTGTAATAAGCATTAAAATTGACTCATCAACTCCGAAAACTACATAAAACAATCTGAGAACATAAAAATTATCTCATCAACTCTGAAAATAAAATGAAACGAATATAAAATCAGGTACTACAGCGCTAATTGCAGCATTCCTTACAGGTACATAATTGTGTACATTCTAATTTCCTCAGGAAACATTTGCATTTATGATCACAAATTTTACATTGGCATTCAATCATTATATCTATTTCCAATCTTTCGTTCTCAATAGTTGTCCAGAGTGGTATCCATTTTTCTTCATTCAATGTCCATCTTCATTGGGATCAGATACCTTTTCAAAACATATGGTAATCCGTTCCAAGAAACCTTAACTGAATTATTCTCTCTAGATAGTAGAATTGTCGTGAATGACGAATGCTTGAGACTGTTATCAGATGAAGGCGTCCATCAATGCAGAGAATTTTTCCATGATAGGTTGATACACTCGTAATAATCAATTTCTGAACCAATCACTAAAAATAATAATATTCCCTTCAAGAATGAAAAAAATAAGCAGAATAAATCAATTAAAGTAAAAGAATTAAAATCAGATGTTACTTCATTCAGTAGGATGTAGCGTTTAATTTTCCACACTTTAGATTATTATAGTTGTACATTTCATTACAGACATTTCCAGATAATTTACAAAGAGAATAAAATTATTTGTGTGAGTATTCAATTAATTTAATCTATCAGAATATTTGACTACAGTAATGAAATCAAGTTGACATTAATTTTGAAGATATTTCTGGTGTCTATTTTCTCAACAAATCATGAAATACCAGAGTCGAACATGTAAACCTAGACAACTACGCATTCATTGTTCGTGTATAGTTGGTTGCCTACCCAGCAGAAATTCAAATAAACCTAGTGTGTTGGAAATATAAATACTCAACAATAATAATTATCACGTTTAATTATAAATCTAGTACAAACCTGTTAAAAAAAAATGAAGGAAGGAAACACTCAAATGAATTAGCGCAAATTGAGCATTCTATTTCTTTCAATATTCTTCTGGATTCAACTGATATGTATTCCCTTTGGTTTCGTTTGTTCTTTATTTTGGAAGCACATAGACACTGGAAAATCACTATTGGAATTTGTTGAGTACGTGTTTCAAACGATAAATGTTGCTTGATTTTTGATTTGATTTTCCTAAAAAAATAAACAAATGAAATAAGTAACGTACAGTTAATTAATGAATTAGAAGTGCACTACTCACCTTTCATCCATACCTTTTTAGAGGCTGGTGAAGAAACTCACTTAGTCATAATATTGATGAAATATCTTCTTGAATTTTCCAATGTATTTTCCACTATGATTTTGGGGTTTTCAATTCCAAATTATTATCGACCAGAAATTCTCTTATCAGTCTTATTGTGTCGAACTGTCGAAGTTGTCAACGAAGTCAAAGATGACTCCACCCATTTCGTCCGATTTTGGAAATCAGACGTTGCCACACTGCTACCTAAGAAATCCTGAAGAATCATCAAGTTCGGTACAATTTAGTGTAGATAGAGTTGGAATAGAATGATAACAAGCTTTCTTGATTGGCTAGTTTAGTGTTTCGATCAATGGAACAGTCCTAGATATTGCACTTTCAAGCACTGGATTTTTCTTGGGTGGGGACCAGAAGAACCGACCATATGAAACCTTCTAGAATGTTCCTGCAATGATGACAGGGTTTCCGTTTCCGGAAAACACCATAAAAGTCTTTGGAGAGCCGGTCGCTAATCACTTGTAGCCCTATAAGTCAAAGTGCTCACATCACGAGTGATCTTGATTTTTTGTTGAATTTGGTGAGTGAGTGTTGATGTCGCCTCTGGATTTGGGAATTAGCCCTTTTGGACTTCAACTCTACTGATCACCACCATTCGAGCCGACTTGGGAAGCCTTCGATTTGGTATAAGGCTCTTGGACTTCAGATTCCTGGACCTCTGGATCCACAACGTGTTCCAGCTTCCAGCATCCTGTGATTCATAATACCCTTCTAGGAAGGTTAGTTTGTTGAGATTCTTTCATAATCAGAGTCATCTGTATATCGAAATTCTGGTAGTCACATTCATAAGAAAACCGGTATTTTTTATTAGGGTACCTAACCGGTATTTTTTTTGTTTCCATTATAGGGTATTTGGGACATAGATAGAGACTATCAATTCCTGTTTCTGAATTCGTTTTATTGGCGTCCACTGCACTGAGTCATGAATTGGTTAGGTTTTCTTCGATGTTTGTGGTCACCACCACATGCCACCTTGATCATCATCAATCGCATTGCTACGGGATCCTCCATCCTGAATGATACGACGAGCCTCCTGCAGTCTTACTGCAATCTGAGACCACACCCGGTTGAATCCCGAGCAAGTGGCTGAAAAGCCGACACCCATCATGTTTCACCCGGAGAATGCTGCAGCGAAATTAATATGGTAACCATTTATAAAGAAAATTGAATCGTTGTTTTTTTTTTATATAATACTTCTTGATTAATCTATATCTCAGAAAAATCTAGTGTATGACCATTTTTCTCCAAGTGAATTAATTTAATTGAATATTGATGCATTATAACCGCCATCACATGCATTACATAACATGATAATTTTATAACGCTCATAATCTTCTACCCGCTGACACATAGTACTATGCTGACGCAACAGGTATCGGTTATTTTATATTCACGTACATCGTACATTTGTATAATCGTATAATCATTGCAACGATAACTGATTTTTCTGAGAAACAATTTTTTGGTGGATGGTAATTTTTTAATATGGTTGCATAATATTGATAACCTTGTATTATCCATTTTACTGTTGTATTTTCCGGATTCATATCATATTTCGTCACATTTTTCATATTTTTTTATATTTTTCACATTGGTAATAGTGATTATGTCATAACTTTCATACACACTCTGTAAATATTGTATTATAATATATGTATCATCCATATACTGAATTTTATTTATGTAGCGATGAACATTCATACTTAAATATTTATCTTCAATACCTTTCATCATTTACGTGAAAACATATTCGTAATGTCTATAAGATTTCTCAACTTCCCTTATAGCCATAAAATCTAGAAGGTAGGTATTAACATCATCAAGAAGTTGAGTGGCGCCTAACCTTTTTTTGTTGTGAATTTCTCAAGGAAAGTATAACGAACTCATAGTGTTCTCTGATGAAGAGCAGCCGTTTGCTAGATGAAACTTTCGTTTTTCTTTTTTTCTTTTTTAAAAAAAAGCTCAACGATTGGGTCACAAGACTTTACGTTGTGTCACAGAATAGATATGGTGACCGGAATTTTTTTTTCAAATTTGAGAATCATCCTTATCCACCCTCACTCGCTCAACTTGGTCAAATGTACCATTGCATGGAATCAGATTTATTACGATGCTCAGACAAATACATAACAGTTGAGAGCAAACCAACTGATGTTGATGCTGTATTGATTGATGGTGCTGCATTAGTACATATACTACAACCCAAGGCTTGCTGTACTTCTCAGGAATATATCTCTCTTATTGTAAAGCCTTATATTTTAAGAATTTTAGATACCTCTAAGAGGATTGATGTTATCTGGGATATTTATATTGATAAGAGCTTGAAGGCAAGTACAAGAGAAAAGAGGGGAAAAGGGAACAGGAAATTGATAAGAGAAAACACCAGCATTCCACGAAATCGGAATGACTTCTTGAGAGACTCGGAAAATAAGAAACAATTGTTCGATTTAATTTCCAATCACCTCAAAGACATGCCATTACCCGAGAATACAGTAGTAGTATGTAATACAATTGAGGAAACACTTTACAATAGTGGATCCCTAGGAATCAATGATATAACTGGTGTTTGCAACCATGAGGAAGCTGATACTCGAATTTCTGTTCATACTCAAAATTGTATGGAAAATAATTTGAAAAAGATCTTGATAAAAACTGTGGATACTGATGTGATCATTCTCGCAATTTTCTATCAGTATCAGCATCAAGAGCAGGATATTTGGATAGAGTTTTGGTACGGGAAAGAATATTAAGTACATTTCTTGCGTATAGAAATTTCTGATAAATTGAAAGAGAAATTTCTTGGTCTGCCAATGTTTCACGCTTTCACTGGGTGCGATGTAACATCAGCCTTCTTCGGAAAAAGAAAAAAAAATGTTGGGAAGCATGGTATGTTTTTTCTGCCGTAACAGATGTATTCATAGAGCTGACACTTCGCCCTAAACAACCTGATGAAAATCATATATTAGAAAAGTATGTCATATTTTTGTACGATAAACATTCACATTCAATGTACTTCCATTACACGCCAGAAGATGCATTTATCAGGGAGGCCATATTTGGGGCAATTTAGCTACTGCTAATTTGGAATTACCGTGTCCCTCCCAATGGGGATGGACATTGGAAGAAGAAAAATGGATACCACTCTGGACAACTATCAAGAACGAAAGATTGGAAACAGATATAATGATCAAATGCCAATGTAAAATTTGTGATCATAAATGCAAATGTTTCCTGAGGAAATTAAAATGTACACAATTATGTACCTGTAAAGAATGCTGCAATTAGCGCTGTAGTACCTGATTTTATATTTGTTTTATTTAATTTTCAGAGTTGATGAGTTAATTTTTATGTTCTCAGATTATTTTATGAAGTTTTCGGAGTTGATGAGTCAATTTTAATGCTTTTAGATTGTTTTTATTACAATAAAAATGTTTAAATTGTTGTACCTTTATTGTTAGATTTTCCACATTCCTTCTTGATTCCAAGTAGTATCCTACATAATTATTAGTCTGTGTGATGAGTAAATCAACTTCTTCCTCTCACGTCATATAGTAAAATGTTCATTTCTCACGTTGCATGCACAAACGGTAGGTAGGTGGGTATTTTTTAATCATTTTTCACACATTATTCTACCAAACGCGCATGTGTTCGTACGCCACTGGATGCCTTCTTTATATAGATACCTCCAACTTTATATATATCGTTCGATAGAAAAAACTGCAAGCTTCATTTTTTCTCTCGTCAAATTTTTCGATTCTCTGGTCCGTTTAATAGTTATGAGGAAAAACATGACAGCCTAGAACTCCCTCCTCCCAAATATTTTTTTTTTGAGAGCTGACATTGAGATTTTTGATCAATCAAAAACTATCTATCAGATGTACAATTCAATTTTCTTTCGAATGGCGTAAATTACAAATCTCTATCTCTCACCGTTTTTGAGAAAATAATATTTAGGTGCAACTGTGCGCACCACCCCTTCGAGAAGGGGGTGGGGGTGTCTCCGCGGGTTTCAGGGGTGGGTCTGCCCCTGAATCTCTTTATTTCTACTTACTCTTTGCCTGTTCAGAAGGATTTGCTTTTACTCAGAAGGGGAAGTATCTGACCATTTTTGGGCTCGTAGGCACTATACTATAAGGAGGATTGGGAGAGGATGTAGGTGTTGAAATTCGTTTTTGAACTCCCGAACGTTATAAGTTCTTGGGAATACTCCCATTGGCAAAAATAATTCCAAAGATACACCGTTCTATTGACAACAAGCTCTAGTAGAGCGTTGTTCGACATATTCCAAGGTTGACAACAAAGAGATGAACTGACTGGGCCAGTCGAGTTCGTCTAACTGGTATTACTAGTGATGGAGTGATATTAGAGATTTCTGAGGAACATTTTCCTTGGAAGTATCTATAGAAAAGTGAGAGGTTCTCAACTTTCCCACGATGCTTCAATTAGGTCATAGAATTAGTGAGTGTGGCATCACGCACCAGACGAATGATCCTTCTAGATTCTTATATCTAATATAAAACAACTATGAAGGGAATAATTGACAAATAAAGATACTGTACCCTGATCATCTTATATCGTGAATGCCTCTTTATTCACGAACATCTCAGTGATAATCTCCGCACTTGTGTCAGCATATATTCCAGAACACTCGATATTGTCGCAACTGAGATGGTTTCAGTAGGTTATGAGACGTTATTGAGAAGAAACTGCGCCTCCACCACGTGTCGAAACTCAGATGTTGATCCTCCTATAGGTTGTGACTTAGCTACTCGCTTGGCTTTTTGACGAGAGGATTCTCAGTATTTCACTACCCCACCGTATATTCATACCAATCGAATAGAATTGTTCTTCAAAAGTACAACAAGGAATTTATTCAATCATGAAAACATAAAAATTTGCCAAAAGGGCGGAACAGCAAATAACAAACATGAACGAGCAAACAACAGAAACAAGATGATGGTTCTTGGTACTTGAATTATGTTATGGGCAGCAGCACTAAAGTCGAGGAGATGTCACACCTTCAAAGTGGCATAGTGCCACTTTGGAAGGCAGCAATCAATGAATGAGTGTTACGTACGATTGAACTGATACTGCCTTGTGTTGATAATGATTGAGCTAATAATGACCATTCTTTTCGATTGGGGTTCTATTCATATTTGGAATCGATGCTAGGTTCGCAATTTTCGGCAATGGAAATGGTATCGATACTGCTCACCTAGGTATTATTGAATTAGGTAGATTATAAGGGCCAGGTAGCCGTGCGGACAGATTTTCAATATTCTAATCTGCATTCGCTTGCCGGTAGTGGGTTCGATTCCCAGAGACTGTAGAAATTTTTCTGAAGGCCCAATTCATTCCTTGCTCGCACAAGACTCTTGAAGACTTCTGAGGGTTGCTCGTGAGGGGGCAACCGAATGACGGATAGATCAATTTTAAAACAATAAAGGAAATGATGTCTATGAACTCCGCAGACCTGATCAAAATTACAATGTACTGGATGTTGTAATTTGGAAAAGTTAATCAATGATGAAAGATCTTGAAGTGAACGAGAGTTTGAGTGATGTTAATTCATAGGCATTTGTACTTCTTGACAATATAGAAACCGGGTGTCCCAGTTGTATTGATACAGGTCTTTTCTCGAAAACGGGTGACACTATCAGTATTCTGGAAAGTCTGGCTTGAATAGGGAAGTATTTTGCACAAAATCTAGTCTTTGAAACGATACGGTTGAGAACCACCCCTTACCCCTCAAGAGTTAACAACTTGTGAGTACGGGAATGGTGAACCCGAGGTACCCTAGACGGATATTTACCAAAGTTCAACTTGTCTTGGGTGATATCCTCTGATCTCTTCCCTTTTCAATCTATTCGATGTGCCTTCCTTGGCCAACTTTTCTCATATTTTGTCCCTCCGAGTTCACCTTCACCATTTAGTGCGGTGTTCCCTTCTCAATCTATTCTATCTGCCTTCCTTGGCTAACTCCTCTCTTCTTCTGTCTCTCCAAGTTCAACTTCACCATTGAGTGCGGTGTGGGAAAGACAGACCGCGGCCTCTTGACAGATGAAGCTTTTTGGGACCATCTTTGCTGTCTCGCGCCAGAGAGGACAATAATTTGTGAACATTCGTGGCAGAGTTGAAGCGATTCGCTGATGTCTGTAGGTGGTCAAGGACTGTCCACGAGGCTCTGGCAACCTAATCCAAGCTGGGAGAACCTGTGGCGATAGATGAATGGCATCGAGGTATAGTGTCGCTAACGGGGCCTCTGGGGAATAGGGCGACATATCAGAGTAAACGACCTTAGCACTGTGCAGGGGGCACCACAGGGCTGGACCAACCCTTTCTACCGTTACTCGTAGTAGAAGGAAAACTTTTACGCCTTCTTCGTAGACCAGAACAGGAATCGGAAGAGTAATCTTTCAAGAACTTGAACGAAAAGGGCCATTCATATTGGAGTGACCCTTTACAAGCACCATGAGTCGTATATAATAAAATTAATAAAGGCATGTGGCTGAGATTCAATGGGCCACTAGGTCTGAGTGTCGTTGGAGACATCGGTCAGACGAGCCTAAAAATAGGGTGAAGTGTTTTGTGGTTAAACCCTGGAGTCAGGGGACTCCCACACTATCGAATGGGGGATTAGACCCATATGATGTCCATGAAGGATCTCAACCACCACGAATATAGTGATGTATTCCACTTGATATAATCGTGAATCGTAATGAGTAAGGAGGAGAAGAAAAACAATAGGCATTCTCCAAAGATTATTCATTCAAATATAACAAAACCATTGGAATAATTGATTTCAATCAGATGGAGCGACTTTTTCGCAACTGACACAGTTCAAACCTTCGCAAAACCTCTCCAACAAACAAAGAACTACTGGAGAGTTATTGATTCAATGCTTTTCCAGCTAGGGAAATTACTTCTATGGCAAGAATCTGTTGGCCTTCGACATTCTTGTGTCACTTTGCCAGTGGAGCAAATTGGTATTGGGCCTTCATCGTTTCAGTGACTTTGATATTGCCAGGAAAGACTATAATTCTGTTCACTCAATCGTTAAGAAGGTCAATGCTGGGCATTCAAACATGCCTATATATATTCTAGATGAACTTTGCTGAAGAGTAAAGTACCTACTCGTATTTTCTTCGATACCTATCGAAAATCATCATTGGATAAAGTTGTGTACACTTTTTTCTACGTTCAAATATCTAATAATATTCATTGTCTAGGATGAGAATCTGGTTTCATCATTTTTTCACAAATCCCTTCAGACTATTTGAAATTTTTATAAATAATGCTTCTCTCCTCGATTTTCTGCCTGAAATTATTGATGAAGAGTTTTCCATTATAATCAATCAGAAATCATTGTGAGAAATGATGAAACATGATTTTCATAGTAGGTAGATATGTTAGGAGATATTAGAACGTTGCTTTCATTTCTAGTCAATCTTTCTATAGGATGATTTTCGATATTGTCGAAAATAAAGGTACTCTACTCTCGAGTAAAATATTTATTTTTTGACATACCTCGCATACGATTGAAAAAACTCGATATCTGATATTCGCATTTTTGGTTTTGGGCTCTGCGGATCTTTTCATGTGGAATGATTTTTGTCCCATTGGTCACCAACTTTTTCAGACATACTTCATACTCTTTCAGAATGATTCAAGCTTATCCGGATAGAATTATATAATGAATTTTTCCACCCAAGATATCAAAGTATTAGTTGAGATATTATTATCAAAATAA